AATTTCTTCAGTTAAAAATTTAAATTAAAAACAAAAAATAAAAATAAAATTTTATAGAAAGGAAAATTGTTAACTACATATATATTATAATGTTGTATATAGATATATAGTAGATATTATTAAATTATAATTATCAGATATATTAATTATGTAGGATTTGTAAAATATCAATATTATATTTATTAACATTATATATTAACCTTATAAAAAAAGATTTATCATACTTTATTCTAAATATAATTTTTTTACTTAATTTAATATCATTTAATTAAATATTACTTAATTAAATATAATTAATTTTTTAATTATATTTTAAAGATATTTTTTAATTAAATGCAAATATATTTTTTATATAACATAGAAAAACATTTTTACCACCATCTGATAACTTTGATAACTGTAAAACGAATGATAATGGATTGCAAAAAATTTAATTTATATAATCTTATATCTAAGCTTAGAAAAAACAAAAATTGGATAAATAATTCATGTTTGATTCACTTTTTTTGTTTATAATAAATTGTAATATAATGGAAAATACAAAAAATTATTGTCTCAGATTCAAATTTCCCGGTGTTATATGTGGTGTATACAGCTTTTTTACAAATAAGAATATTTTTAAATTATAAAAATTTTTATAAGAATTTTTAATTTTATTAATATAAAAAATATATAGATTAAAATATTTAAATAATAAGTATATAAATAATAAATTAATAAAAATAATAAATATATAATTTTTTTCACTATTAGATACTTATATATTAAATCTATACTTTATCTTGTCTATGGTTATTTACTATGTATCGAAGTTTTTACCGGTTAAAATCAGCTGTAAACAGTGTTACATGAATTCTTACAGCAGTTTTAGCAATGTTAATCGCATGCAGAATCTTTATCAATATAATGAGCACATGGAAATTACTTCAGCGTCGATGTTACGATCTTCTATCATATAAATATTCTTTACTGGTGATATTAACGGCGTTCACTTGTATATTTATTGGTATTGTTCATTTCGGAGAGGTTAGAGAACGTATTATCATCTCTATTGTTTTTATGCTAAATCTACTTTATTAATTGTTATTATTCAATATATATTTTGTTAAATGGTTAATTTTTTTAAAAAGAATTTAAATCTTAAAATTTATCTTCAAAATTATCAAATTAGTATTTAGTTTTTAGTATTTAGTATTTTAAATTTTAATTTAAATTTTAAATCTTTACATTATAATTTTTAATATTTTAATTTTTCAAATTTCAAATTTTTTTATTTTAATTGAATACAAATATTTCAGATGTGGATAACTTGGAGCAAAGAAAAATATGAAGCAGTATTTCATTCTTTTAATGATAATATATTAGGTATCTCTTTTCAAAAAAAGCTATGTCAACATGTTCCAATAGATGTTGTGTATACATGGGTCAATGGCTCTGATCCAGTTTTTTTAAAAAGTTTGAAAGAACACGTTCCTATTACTGATATTAATACAGCTGCTTCCAGATTTAATGATAAAGATGAATTAAGATATTCATTACGTTCATTGGAAAAATATGCACCTTGGGTAAGACATGTGTATATTGTTACAAATGGTCAAATACCAAGTTGGTTAGATATGGATAATCCTAAAGTTACACTTGTTACTCATGAAGATATATTTATAAATAAAAGTGATCTTCCAACATTTTCTAGTCCAGCTATTGAAAGTAATATTCATAGGTAGTAATCAAATTCATTTATTTTATAATAGTTAATGATTGCTTATAATATGCTCAATATGTTTTTTATTTTTACAGAATTCCTGGAATTTCAGATAAATTTTTATATTTTAATGATGATGTTATGTTAGGGGCAGAAGTGTGGCCAGAAGATTTTATTACCCAAGCAAATGGTCAAAAAATATATCTTGCATGGTGGGTTCCTGATTGTTCGGATGTTTGTCCTTGGGCTTGGGTGGGTGATGGATCATGTGATCCTGCTTGTAATACAACATTATGTGAATTTGATGGTAGCATTCATTGTTTATATTTGTTTTTAAATAATAATTATATCAGTTATTAATCTAAGAAATTAGTCTAAGAAATAGAAATATAGTATAAATATATATATATATTTTTACATTCATATTTGTATATATATAAATATAAATCTTGTATAAATCTAATTCAATTTTTTAAATTTTTTTTGTAGGAGGAGATTGTGATAGCACACCAGTTCCTACTGACAGTGAAACTCTTGAAGAAGAAGGAGATTATTCACACAAACTTTTACAAGATTCATTAGATGATAATAACTATGGTTTTAAATTTCTAAATTTATTAAGAAATAGAAATATAAGTACTATATGGAATGATACAGAAACATTTATTCAACAACCATCACCATCAAATATGACTACAAACTTAAAGTTAAATATAAATAAATCTCATAATTTTAAAAATAATTATATAAGTTCCATTGAGAAATATTTTAATGAACAATTGATTCAAAATGATCAAATTATATCTACTCAGAAATCAATACTATCAAAAATGATGAATAAAGTAAAATTTCAAACATCAAATATAACTAAAAGACGTTTGCTACTGAAACATTATTTAAATGATGATATCATAAATTTGCCACAAGTTAATAGTACTATAAAAATCAATCATAAATTACATCATTCTGATCAATGGAAACTTAGAACGAGACAACTTGATACATATGCTGAATCTTTGCTGTTTGTAAATAGAATATATAATATGGCATATGGATTCGAACGTAGAAGAGTACCCGCTCATATGCCTCATCTGATAGATAAATGGATTGTTGCTGATATGCAAAAGAAATTCAAATATGAATTTAAAAGAACATCTAACCATAAAGTTAGAAGCTCAGAGGATATGCAATTTGCTTTTTCCTATTTTTATTTTTTAATGAGTGAAAAACGGAATGTACCAATTGAAGAAATATTTGATATATTTGACACCGATAAATCAGGGTAGTTATACTATTATAAAATAGTAATAATAGAGAGAGAAAAAGAGCAAAAAAATAATAAAAATATTATTCAAAATAGTAATTTTGTGCGGTTTTCGTGATTTATTATTTTCAGCACTTGGTCAGACAGAGAAATTAGGACTCTTCTATCTAGACTTTATCCACTCCCTCTTGATTATAGTTTAGTTATTGATTTTGAAAATGCAATAACAAACTGTTCAAATCATATAAAAATTACTAAAATACTAAATGTACCACCAGGGGAAAGATATTTGGATTCATCACTTGTAAATAAATTTTTTTGTTAATTATGAGTTAATTATGATATCTAAAATATAAAGATATAAAAAAAATATAAATATAAATCATTTATTTATAATATATTTATTTATAATAATATTTTATAATGTTTTTATAGCCAATTGTAACTAAGGAATTGATAGCAAAATGCGAATTAGTTTCAAGAAAAGTTAAAACCAAATTTGGCGAAGAAAAACTTTATCAACATGAGATAATTAAAGCAGGAAAAAATGAAATATTTGAAATGTTAACGAGCAACGTATCTTTAACAGTACAACTTTTGGACGAGATACGTAGGGATCCCAAGTAAGTAATTTCACTAATTACAGATTTAATAATAGATATTATCAAATAATATTATTAAATTTTAGAAAATTTATTTGTCTAAATGATGATATGGATCCTCTTCGACATGCTGAAAATGAAGTAGTTCGGGCATTATTGAACGATTTTTATCGTTCTCTCTATCCATTACGTAGTACTTTTGAATTACCGTTACAATATCGAAATCTTTTTACTCATCGACATAAACTCCTTGAATGGAGAGCTAATCGAACAAGAACCAGAAATTTATTGTTATGTCTTATTCTTTTATTGCTTATTACGACGTTCTATCACTTTTTTTATCACCAAATACGAAGATTATTCAGAATACGGGCTTTGCCCATTTTACTCGTTTAAAACTAAGACAAATTCAAAAATGAGAAAAACGATTTAAAATATATCGATATCTTCTAAATTTTTTTATTAAACATGGAATTGTGCATATTTATATAGGTAATTTTTTTTATAAAATTTATACTATTTTAACAAATAATTTTTATATTTTATTACATATTTTATTCGTCGATCCATCCACATTTTAAAACTAATATTTAATAAAACAAAATGGAAATTGTTTATTTTAGAAGATTTATTTAAAAAATATAATTGATTAAAAATTTATATATTTTATAAGATAAAATGATATACGAACAAGTAAATATTTAAACATCATTTTTAAATTAAATAAAACGTTCCTGTGATATATATATATATATACATATATATATATATATATATATATATAAAATATAAACAAAAAAATACTATGTATATATTATACTTTGCTCTTTTCTTTTAACTTTCATATAATAAGCTTTATATAATTCAAACTAAAATTAATATTTGTTGAAAATAAATTAATATTTTTTTGTATAAAATAATGAATTGCGTCGACTAATGCATTAAAATTAATAATAATATCAAATTATGCAAATTTTATATGAAATATTTTTTTTAAAAAAGTAAGTCTCGAATTATTTTGTATCTTATCGTATATTACATATCGATGAAGTAATGAATATTATCATTTTATTTCAAAATTTGTATTTATTTTATTTTTAAAATAAAATGTGTAAATAACATAATTTAAATAAAATTGTATTTTACTTTGTATTGCTTAAACATTATTTATGTATATCTTTAGAAAAATTATTCGTTAATTTTTCTAAAATACGATTTTTCTATAATTGCAAATATAATTAATAATATATTTTTCTACTTATAACTACTTTTCTAACATTCAATATTTATTGATAAAAAAATGAATATATATTCATTCAAACTAAAATATCTTTTAATCAAATAATTATTAAAATTAAAATATAAACTAATTTTTATTTTAAGTAAAGTTGCTTTTAAAATAAGATGTGTTTATAATTATTACATTCACTTGTGCTCTATGTTTAATATTTAAAAATTTTTGCAAATTCATATTAATTATATCATATTGCATTTTGTTACGAGTCCGATGTCTGTTGCCTATCTAAAGGAGGACAATTCATATGCCGAAGATTTCGCGGGCCAACCATACCTTCTTGTACTTTTGCGCATTCACTCAACCATATTGCAACGCTAGCTACTTCTTCAGCTGATAACCGAGGTCCAATACCTGATATTAAATTAAATTATAATGGGTATATATAAAAATTTATAATAATATATAATTATATCATATAAAAAATGTTTAATTTATAAACAATCATAAAATATAAATTATTTCAAATCATTTTATAATTAAAAAAAAACGATTTCATTTATAATTAATGGTTTTTAATTGTCTCACCAGGAACATTGGGATAGTACTTGAATAATTTTGGATCTAAAGCCTTCTTCTTTTTCCTTTTTTCGCTTATATTTCTATCTTCTGTACTTCGTATACTATGTTTCTTACTATAATTCTCTTCTGATGTACTGCTATTAGTCGCATTCTTCGCAGATACATTTTCATATTTATTTAATTTCTGTTCATCATTAGAATCTATTTTTTTACTTGATTCAGCATCATTAACAAAAGTTTCAGATTCCATTCTTAATAGTTTCTTACTATACAAGTCTTGTTTCACTTCATCTTCAATTGTTTTTTTGTAATTAATATAATTGTCGCTCAATTGTGGTGTTATGTCCGCTGTAAAAAATTTTTTTTTCTAAATTAAGTGAAAAATATATATAAAAAATAATTATTAGATAAATTTACTTCTTGAAGAATCGATATCTTCTCTTGATACTAATTCCAAATCTAAATTCACATCAGCTTCAGTATCTTGGCTCGTAATTGAACAAGCACGATCTATAAAAAACTTTTCCTTGTTTTTTTCTTGAATTGCAAAATATTCAGAATCCCATATAATAAATTCTGTTGGATCTTCATCGGCAGAATCTCTTTCAGTTCCATCACAACGAAGTCCCGCTAGATATCTAAAAAATACATAAGTATTAATATTATTAATCATTAATTTATTTAAAATATATATATTTTTATAAAATATATATATGAAATAATATTAAATATTGTAAATATTAACATTATATATTATATAAATTTATTATATACCCATATATTTCCAAAAAAAATGTAACAGGAACCATAGCAGATCCACCTTCAGGTTCATGAGTGAACAGTTCACAAATCATAAGCATTGTTTCAAAGAGACTTGAATTTAAAAGTCCAACGGCGATTGCCAAAAATTTTTTTACTTGGCATTTTCGTCGAAATTTTCCTATCATCAAAATTAAATTTAGATCTCGACGATCCAAACACAAGCAGTCCCATCGTCTTAAAATCGTTTCCACAGGTAAAAATTTATTATAATCTGTTCGAAAAACATTATTTTGAAAATATAATTTTAATAAAAAAAAATAAAAATCCGCATAATTTGAAAAATATTTCATTTACATTTTATTTCTATTTATTAAAAATTATTTAAATATGTAATGTACAGCATAGAATGTCTTTGAATATTATTACGAAAATAATCGATAAAAAGTAATATATATATCGCGATTATGTAGTATAATATTTATATTCAAATGATTATTACCTCCAAATTGTCGAAGTAAAATTCTCAGGAAGCCGAAAGTCAAACCGGAAGCTGTATTCGGTGGTGGATATTCCAATCTCAATTTCGTAGGTGGTTCTTCTCCATCGGCCAATGCTCGAAAATACGAACTGGACCATAAAAGTAAATCATACGGTTGAGTTCGAATAGCCGCCTTACAAAATTCCTTTAAAATTAGTGGCAAATTAGGTGGTACAATAACTTCATGTTCTGAAACTGATTGTTCTGCAAGAGACATTTCTTAAGTTTTAGCAAATATCAATCTATTAAGAACAAAAACTTTAAAAAGGAACAAATTGAAGTTCTTAAAATATTACAGTACGAAACGAGCCTAAGATTAACTTGGATAACGTAGTAGTATACAGTAGTGCACTGTGTCAAGTATACTGTTTGTTACCTGTTCGCGAATTTGTCGTCTAGGAAACAATATCGATGGAAAATGATCAATTTTTGATAAAAATAATATTTTTTTTTTCATCGATATTCATTCTATCTTAAAATATAAATATATTATTATTATTCTTTTTATAATTTAAAAATTTAAAAATATATATTATAACAAATTATAATTAAAATATATATTATAACAAATTATAATTATATTTTATAATTTTTTTTTTTAATAATTACATTAATATTATTTAATTTCATGCAAAATATTAAGAATATAAAAATAAAAAATCAATAAAAATATTTACAAATATATATTTTAAAATATATTATTTAAAAAAAGAATTAATTATCATTTCAAATATACGAATTTTACTTCAAAACTTTTCATTAGTAAAAAAAATTAGTGAAAAAAAGTATAGTATATATTATCAATATAATTTCTATCAATATAATTTCAATAAATATATTTGAAAATACACAATATTTGTTTAAAATATATTTGAATATTCCCTCTCGTAACGTGACGTATTCGACAGATACTTATAGATGGCGTTATTTATAGCATAGTTTTGGAGGGATAACACGATCCACTATGGCGGTGATTGATGTTATGCGTTTGTGATCATCACGGTGAAGATCGAATCTAATACACGAATACTCAATTAAATCAAGCACATACTTAAATATATATTAAATTAATTAAAACTTTACTTGTACACATAAAAAGTACGTCACAAAAACAATCAAAATGTCAAAACCGGACGAAAATGCAGACACAGGAGATACGGGAGACAATTCAAATGGATCTTCGGCCGAAACCACGTCGTCCCGAGGTGGTGATTTTGAAACAAAACTAGAAACTGATCGAAGTAAACGATTTGATTATTTACTAAAACAGACTGAAATATTCTCCCATTTTATGACAAATAATCAGAAAGATAAGGCTGGGAGTCCATTAAAAGTTAAAGCTGGCAGACCTAGAAAACAACCAGAAAATCAAGCGAAAACTGATTCCGGTGATCATAGACACCGTAAGACAGAACAAGAAGAAGATGAAGAATTATTGGCCGAAAGTAATGCCAGTGTTGCGCCAACGACGCGTTTCGAATCTTCGCCACATTACATCAAATCCGGTGAGTTACGAGATTATCAAATAAGAGGTTTGAATTGGATGATATCATTATACGAGCATGGTATCAATGGAATTTTGGCTGATGAGATGGGTCTTGGTAAGACTCTTCAAACTATTTCACTGCTAGGATACATGAAACATTTTAGAAACATTCCTGGCCCACATATAGTCATTGTTCCCAAATCTACTTTGGCAAATTGGATGAATGAATTTAAAAAATGGTGTCCAAGTTTAAGAGCAGTGTGTCTCATTGGAGATGCAGAGACTCGAAATACTTTCATTAGAGAAGTTATGATGCCTGGGGAATGGGATGTTTGTGTAACATCTTATGAAATGGTTATAAAAGAAAAATCAGTGTTCAAAAAGTTTAACTGGCGTTATATGGTAATTGATGAAGCTCATAGAATAAAAAATGAAAAATCAAAATTGTCAGAAATCTTAAGGGAGTTTAAAACAGCCAATCGTCTTCTATTAACAGGAACACCTTTACAAAATAATCTTCATGAACTATGGTCCTTGCTCAATTTTTTATTACCAGATGTATTTAATAGTTCAGATGATTTTGATTCTTGGTTTAATACTAATAGTTTCTTAGGTGATAATTCTTTAGTTGAAAGATTACATGCTGTTCTTCGACCATTTCTTTTAAGACGTTTGAAATCTGAAGTAGAGAAAGGACTTAAACCTAAAAAAGAAATTAAAGTATACATTGGTCTTAGTAAAATGCAAAGAGAATGGTATACTAAAGTACTTATGAAAGATATAGATATAGTCAATGGTGCAGGGAAGATTGAAAAAATGAGATTGCAAAATATTTTAATGCAGCTACGCAAATGTTGTAATCATCCATATTTATTTGATGGTGCAGAACCTGGACCTCCTTATACAACTGATGAACATCTTGTTTATAATTGTGGTAAAATGGTAATCTTGGATAAATTATTGCCAAAATTACAACAACAAGAATCACGAGTTCTCATATTTAGTCAAATGACTAGAATGTTAGATATTTTAGAAGATTATTGTCACTGGAGAGGTTTTCAATATTGTCGTTTAGATGGTAATACAGCACATGAGGATAGACAGCGTCAAATTAACGAATACAACGCACCAGGAAGCGAGAAGTTCATTTTTATGCTATCAACTCGTGCCGGTGGTTTAGGTATTAATTTAGCAACGGCAGATGTAGTTATTATTTATGATTCTGATTGGAATCCACAAATGGATCTACAAGCGATGGATCGAGCTCATCGCATAGGTCAACAAAAGCAAGTTCGTGTATTTAGGTTTATCACAGAAAATACTGTAGAAGAAAAGATAGTGGAACGTGCGGAAGTTAAATTACGTTTAGATAAGTTAGTTATTCAACAAGGACGATTAGTGGATGCGAAACAAACAGCGTTGAATAAAGATGAAATGTTAAACATGATCAGGCATGGCGCAAACGAAGTGTTTGCATCTAAAGACAGTGCTATTACAGACGAAGATATAGATACCATTCTTCAAAAAGGTGAAGCTAGAACCGAGGAGATGAAACAGAAATTAGAAAGTTTGGGTGAATCTTCTTTGCGCAACTTTACCGTAGATGCACCCACGGATTCTGTCTATCAATTTGAAGGTGAGGATTATCGCGAAAAACAAAAAATTCTTGGTATAGGAAATTGGATAGAACCGCCGAAACGAGAACGTAAAGCAAATTACGCAGTTGATGCATATTTCAGAGAAGCTCTTAGAGTCTCAGAACCAAAAGCTCCAAAAGCACCTAGACCCCCAAAACAACCAATTGTTCAAGATTTCCAATTTTTTCCGCCACGATTATTTGAATTACTTGATCAGGAGATATATTACTTTCGACAAACAGTTGGATATAAAGTTCCAAAGAATCCAGAGCTTGGATCGGATGCTGCCAGAATTCAAAAGGAAGAGCAACGTAAAATAGACGAAGCTCAACCTTTAACCGATGATGAGGTTGCAGAAAAAGAGAAATTGCTGACTCAAGGATTTACAAATTGGACAAAAAGAGACTTTAATCAATTCATAAAAGCCAATGAAAAATATGGTCGAGATGATATCGAAAATATAGCTAAAGAAGTAGAAGGAAAAACTCCCGAAGAAGTCATGGAATACTCAGCCGTTTTTTGGGAACGTTGTCATGAATTACAAGATATAGACAGAGTAATGGCTCAAATTGAACGAGGAGAAGCAAAAATACAGAGACGAGCCGGAATCAAAAAAGCTTTGGATGCCAAAATGGCAAGGTACCGTGCTCCTTTTCATCAATTGAGGATAGCATATGGAACAAATAAAGGTAAAAATTATACCGAGGAAGAAGATCGATTTCTCGTATGTATGTTACACAAGCTTGGCTTTGACAAAGAGAACGTATATGAGGAGCTTCGTGCCACAGTCAGATCGGCGCCACAATTTCGTTTTGACTGGTTTGTGAAATCGCGCACAGCTTTAGAATTACAACGGCGATGCAATACATTGATCACGTTGATCGAACGTGAAAATCAAGAATTGGAAGAACGAGAAAGACAAGAAAGGAGGAAAAAAGGTGGCAGTATTGGAGCAAAACCCGCGTCGAAACGGAAACAGGAAAATTTGCCGGCACCACAAGATAAACCACGAAAAAAGAAAAAATAAAAAAAAGAAATACGCTTCATTTAAAGAGCACGAACTTGACCTGTAATAATTTTTCCATCATTCATTCTTCTTCAAGATATTAACGATTTATCATCGTTTTAAATTCAAAGGGACCTGTAAAAGCCGCAACTTCGTTCTTTTTCATTCCCTACAATCTATATTTCAATATAATTTGACATGCTTTTTTTTTTTGATATGATAAAAATCATGAAGAATCATCTTTAAAAGTCATGAAGAAAACTAGTTAACAATAGAATAATGTATCTAATATTAACAAACATAGGTTGACAGCAATATTCGAAATGGTTTTGCATGTGTAACCTTGGCAAGATAACTTTTTATATTTATACGTATCAAGTGATTTCAATTCACCTCATGAATGTTAAAGTCAAGTTATAATTATTTGACATTGATGAAGAAAAGTGAGACTTTTTTTTATATATATATATATACTTAATTATCACGAAAACGTTACACACAGCCACCACCATCTATGTATTACAAAAAACCACATACGTACCTTGATTTAATTTTACATGAATAATTGTAATGCAATATTACGTGAACGATTTTATTTATTTGCTATGATTTTAGGCATTGTAATTCGTTTTACGAATAAAATATATGCCGCATCATATAAACGTTCAATGTGTTTGATCAATTATTAATTATTACCTTATTATATGAAAAGAAACAAATTAAAAAATATCTGAAGATAGTGAATAATATAAGAAGAAAATTTCAATTGTGTTTATATATATGATTATATTTATTAATTTCAGAATTCATAGCAATAAGGAAAAGAAAGATATAACTCAAATTACTTATTCCTAAATTAAATTTTATAGAAAATAAGAATAAATAACATAGTATCCTAATTCTACATAAATTCATATATTTTAAATACCAAATTATGGATATTTTATGATAACAAAAAATTAATTTCGAAATCAAATCATACTAAGTTTTGTATTTGCAAGAAAACTTTAATCTTCATGAAACTAATGTTTATTGCATTTCTAGCAATAATATTTTTTCATATTTTTCATATTTATTCAATGGTATGTTATTGAAAATTTTTAATTTCATAATTACAATAAAAAATAAATTTTTAATTACGAGAAATTATAATTTTAAGAATATTTTAATCAGTATACTAGTTATACATTTTTTTTTATAAATGCGTAATTAAACTATTGACTATATTTTATAGTTTACGTATAATTTTAAAAAACATTATTAAGAAATTATATTGTAAATTCATCGAAGTATTATAAAAAAAAACATGAAAAATATGTCTTTTAATAAATAAAATGTCATAAAAAAATTATTTAAAATTAAAAATTAAATTTTTATTACTGTGTTATATTAACATTATAAAAAATAAATTTTTAATAAATATTGAAAGGTAAAATAGAATAATTAATTAAATATTTCTTTCTTTTTTTTTCTGGTTAAATTAATTTTTAGATTATAAGAGTTATTAATATCATCATGGGTTATTCTAATCTATTTTAATAATAGTTAATATAACAATTAGCAGTTTTAATTGATACTGATTTTTAAGAATGAATTTCTCATTATTTTAGTATTAATAAAATAAAGTATCAAATTAAATATTTTAACAGATAACAAATATTTTACATAATATTATTTCACATTTATACTAAGATATGACTAATATCGCTAATCTAAAAAGAAACAAATTAAAAATATTGTTAAATTACATCAAAGGATATACAGAAAAATTTGAAGAAATTAAAGTGCCTCATTTTATGATAATTGCTTATCCTATTTTATTTTTTTTCAATTTACTTTGATTTTCTTCTTTTTTTTTTTATTTTTTAAATATTTCTTTAATGTATCGCTATCTTAATTTACTACACATACTTTCGGAAATGTTACAGCAATATCATTCTGTCTGAGATTAATCGGCAGTAGAATACATTTAGTTTACAATAAATGTAATATATTCATCAATAATTACAATTATTAGAAATAATAATGTAATTTTCTATAATGTTATACATATAAATCACTTATGGCAAGGATTGGCCCAACTACAAGTTATTTTAATATATATAAAATTATCCATACAATTTAGATAAGTTACATTTCGTATTTGGTTAGAAATAGAAAAAAATTATACAAAGAAAGAAAAATTAAGCGAAATAGGAAGGCAATGTTACTTGAGATTATATATTTAAAAATAAAAAATGTACTTTTTTTTAAATAGGAAAAAATAAAAAAATTATTAAATATTATAATTTTCATTTTGTAAAACTTGATAATCGTATGAAAAACAAAAGAAAACATAGAACAATATTTTATTTTTCTCATAATATTTGAGATATAAGCTATACTAAAAACGAAATTTACTCTATATATACATATATTTGCATATGTATATTTCTTTTCCTTTTTATTTTATTGAATTTATATAATAATTAAGATAAAAATTTCTAAACAACTAATAATAATAATAATAATCTAATAAACTATTAAAAATAATAAGAAAGTTATATATTTGACAAAATGAATGATAAAAATAATAAATGAAATTTAATGCATTACTGATTAAATAGCGTATCAATGGGCCTAATTAAAATATGAAAATATAAATTTATATTTCCGATTAACACATTTTTTATATTGACAATTAGCAGTTACGATACACGATCAAAATTTGATGTCTCTATAAATTCATTCTTAAACCTCATTCTTTAATATATATTATTGCAAGTGTATATCACTTGACTTTATTAATATTCTAAAGTTTGAATGATTATATCTGTCTACATTTTAAAGTTTGCAATAATGGCAATAACAATAGTAATACCAATAAATTACATAGCGCGATAAACAACTTTATCCCGCTTATGTATTTAATATAAATGTATATATATGTATATATAAATATATAATGTATAATATACATATATATATATATAAATATATATACAATATATTTTTTGTACCTAATACGTATACTACAATTTATTATCTAAAATCTACAACTCGATTATAATTGCTCTGCGATGTCAAAGAATTTAGCATATACGCAGTTCATTTCCATTACAGAATTTGGATATTTTTCTTTTTACAATATTGTATTAAATTTTAAATGAATTTCGATTATAGTATAGACAATAATTATAACTATGCATGCTTAGAAGTTATTTATTTGAAATTTTTCATTTTTCTTGAGTAAATGTGCACATAAAAATTCCTAAATTTTTTTATTATATATAATTTTATTTTAGTGCTTTTGCAAGAAACCAATTTTCTTGCACAGATATTGTTTCACTTATTTTATAATTCTTACGTACGTTTCATTACATACATAGTGATATAGAGAGATAGAGATAGATTGAAAGAGAAAAAGAAAGAGATTTCACTCAATTTGAGTAATGTTTTGGAACAATCAACTAAATTAATCTTACTGTTAACATTATAAAATATACAAGCCTAGCCTATTTCAAAAAATATCAGCACATCGTAGACTTAATAATAATAGTTAATATAACAATAGTACGATATTCACTGGAAATATGAGACACACAACATGTTTAATAAATAAAATGTGCATATTATTTTAACAATAAAAAAAAAAGTTTGCATTTGTTGAAAATGCAAAATAAAATTCGACATTGTATCGCAGAAATTGAGTTTTAAGTTTAATAATTGAGTTCACAGTGGTCACTTTTTATTCAATAAACAAAATCTTTGAATTATATAAATTTATATAAATTATATAACTTTCAAATTATTAAAAAAACGACAAAATATTAAAAAAATTTCTTTTTTCATTTACATTATATTTATTTATGATTTTGCTATTATATAAATTTTTTTGAATTAAAAATTTATTAATCATTACACTTAATAAAGAATAGAAAATGACCATCACACTCAATGAAGAGTAAAATGTTTCAAATAAATCACGTAAATTAATTATACATTAACAGGTACTTAAACTGTGATATATAATTATTATTATTATTATTATTATTATTATTATTATTATTATTATTATTATTATTAATATTAATAATAATATTAATAGTATTAATGATATTAATATCAATAATAATAATAACAATAGCGATGTCTCATTAGGGAAAAGTTTTCATTGATCTACATTGTAAACGGTACATCGTGTGTGTATATATATATATATATATATACGTGGCTTTTTAAAATGCTACAAATCTCTTGCGTCAGATCACAATAAGGATAATATCACACATAAAAGGACAAAAAAGGTGGTTCTAAAATTGATAAAAATGATTGCGAAAGATGATTGTGAGAAAGTCAACTGAAAGCAGGAACAAAATGGATAGTGCTACAAATATAGAAATTCAACGCCCTATCCGTACTCTTTTTTAAGCAATATAAGAGAATGTAAGTGAAAGCTTTAATTTGAAATTAGATGCCTCCAAGGGGGTGGATCAGGGGGTGGAGGCAAAGGGACTGGTTACGGTCGGCAATGACCTCTTTTTCTACCACCTTCATTCCCATCTTCCTCTTCACCACCTCTTCTTACTTCAGTATAACGTTCACCTTTCACACTTACAATCTTGTTATCTAAATAACGTACTAATTTTTTTGGTTCCGTTTTCGGGGCGACTGGACGATGCTCACGTGAATCATCATCTCTATCAACGTAACTATATCGTGCGATGATACGTGATTTCAATTCCTCGTCATTTACTCTTGCCTTGTTACGACCGTTTGGCTACAGAATATAATTACACTATTTTATTTCATTTAATACATAATTGCTTTAGTAATATAAAATATGCACATGCATTCAATATTTTAAATTAAGAGTAAGTTATTTAATATTATATAAGACATATGATATATTTTTTAATTAAAAAAAGAAATATATATATATACTTTAGAAATAAATTTAAAATGATACTTACTGTTAGAAAAGTAAGATTACTAACAAGACTTTGTCCTGCTTCTTGTCTATGAAGTGCAAGCTGTGCTGCTTTTGCTATATCACCACCTGCAACTGCTAAGCAATGTCTAGCTTCTGCTGGACTTGCAGCTGGAAACATTTCTTGCAGAAGTGCTACTTGATGCCAAGATGATTCCTAATATGATATATTGATATATTGATATTTTAAAGTTATAATATATATACTAATAAATAAAATTTGTTATATAAGTAGAAAAGAATAAGACAACTAAAGACAACCATATCAACTTTTTTGATGCTAAATTTCATTCTAATATTAGTTTATTGTTGTAAAATAATATTATTTGAAAATGAATAATATAAAAAATTTTTATACATAACTAAATTTTTCAAAATTTAAATTTCAATATTTAAATTTTTCACATTTTAAATTATGACAAAAATAAATAATCATGATGCAATTGATTTAATAAAATAAAAAAATATCATACATTTAATTTATGAAAAAATTAAAAAGAGCTTACTTCTGAAAAATATTCTCCACTAGAATCACTTCCAGCATCACTTGTTTCTGAGAGATGATGAACTCTCATTCTTTGTGTACCAGGAGGTAACAAAGCTGTTAAACTAATATGACTCAAAGGATCCTGAGGTTGGCAATTTTCATTTTCTTTAGTTTCTTGCCGTAATTTGCTTTCAATATCTAACAACCATTTAGATACTGCTTCTTTTTCAATGGTAGAAAACTCAGGAAGGCAAGCAGAGACCATTTCACATAATCCATCAACATCCAAATCTTCCTCAAGTGCACTTTCTTCTACCATACTTACCACATAACTCAAAACAATATCATCTATTAAACTAGAAATAATATCTTTATAAATTACAAACATACATTAAATATGTATAGATTTCATGTAAATTTTCAAGTTATAGACAAAAAAACATTTTTATTTTTCTTTTTTTTTTACCTTAATTGGGCAGTGGGTACTTCTTTCCTCACAAAACTAAATAAAGACTTTTTAACCAATTCTTCTTTTTCATCCATTGTACGATTCATTCTAAAAAATTTATAATAATCTATTAAATATAAAATATATTTTTTATATTTTATATTTAAAAGTCATCTATTAAAAACATAAGTATAGATCCAATTTGTTGCTTTTCTATTTTATATAAATTTATATTTTTTAAAATAATTAGTTTATTAATAAATATGATTTTTTTTTAAATAATATTATTTTATTTTACTAAAATAAAAATTTTATTTAATAATTTTATGAAAATAATATATAAATATTCTTGAAAATACCTGATAATATTAATATGATAAAAATAATTAAATATCATAAAATATTGTTATTGTATTAAACAAAATCAGTTTTATCCTAATATGAAAATTTTATCATAAAATTTTTTATAGCAGAAAAAAATAAAATAAAAATAATAATTTTATTAAAAAAAATTTTATAAAAAATAATTGTAAATAATTATTATATTAAATAAAAATTGTAAGTTCTAACAAGCTTATCAATCAATTTCAATTTATTACATAGCATATTAAATTTGTCAAATTTGACATCAAATTTTATTTAAAAAGTTAAAATTAAACAATTAATAGTTAAGTTAAATAATTATCTTTCTAGATAGGTTAAGAGAAATAAAGCAAGACCAATAACACACAATTTATAACAAAATTGCATTCAATGAAGAATTTTCATTAATATTTTTATCTTATACAAGATGACAAAAGAAATAATTTTTTTAATTGTATTGAACAACAAGAATTGAATAACAAGAATTATCAAGAAAAATGTATGAGAAAGAGACAAGAAGAAATTGACAGAAAGGTGGTAGCAGCGCCGGTCACATCGAGCTCTTAACATTTTCGTTTATCTGCGATAATCGAAGGATTCCATAAAATAATATTGATATAATTCATTGTGAAAATAGGCACAAGTACGAACCTGATCTTATTCACTTGTTCGAAGTCCCTGGATTGTACTTGAGGCTGAAAACTGATAAAAATTTCGTATACAAACAACGTTCCTCGATTTGACAGTTCGGTAAGGGGAGGGGTAAAGATAACGTGGCGCCATCGTGATTGCGAGTTGCGACCTACTTTGGGATCAAATCAGCAATCCTAATATAACAATTTTAATATTGATATAACTCAAAAAAGATTAATTATTATATAGAATAAAGTGATTTTCATTGTATATGATAAATTAAAATGTATATTTTTTTATATAAATATCGTAAAATCTATTAGAGTATGAATGTAAAAATTCAATTTACATCGAAACACTAATATCGATATTGTAATCCCTGGAATATTTGTTGCATAAATATTAATCAGTATGTAATTGAAATTATTTTATAAATAAATAAAATAGAATCAATTACTTTGTAAAAATACTTTAGAAATATTATAACAAAGTATATATATACATTATAGCTAAAAAATTTAAAACTTTAAAAACAAATATATATAAATATATTTTTTATTGGAGATTGGAATTTCAATATTTAAAATTATTTATTTAAAATATTTAAAATTATAATATTATATAATTATATTGTTATAGCTTCAGTAATATAATTTAAAAACAAAAATTTTAATATTTATAATAGAGAAACGATAAATGTAAAAAAATTTTTATATTCCTATAAATATAAAAGAAATTTAATATAATATATCTCTAATATTCATATTTTATTTTAGAAATAATATATATTTAAAATATATCTTTTATTATAATTGTTATGATGTCTTTTATTATTTATTATGACTTTTAATTTCTCTTATATATACTATATATATATATAATATAATAATACATACAACAAATAATAACAAAAAGATCATAAGCAAAATTAGGAAAAAAAACATTTTTATTATATTATTATAATTCATAACAAATAATTAAAATATTAAAAATTTTTTAGAGAAAAAAGAAATAATACAAATTATTTTGCTATGTACTATTATAGCAATTTATTTATAAGACATAATTTCACATGTTACAATGTACATATACTTTCCAATCATATATAGATTTTTACAATAAAATTTTGCCTCTAGTTTCTATGTAATATATACCATATACGTAGAATGTTACTTTTACATAACGCTTACATACAGGTATAATAATTTTTTTGGAAAAAATATACATAATAATCTTTAAAAATCTAAGAAAAAGATTACAATGTAATAAAAAATATAACATTCAGTTATCAATTTATTAATTTTGCAATTTGATATAATATTAATTTTTTATGATTAATATATTATAAATGCATTGATTTTTTATTAATTTATTAGTAAAATCAGACATACCATTTCAAATAATGCATACATACAATATATATAATAAAAGAATAGAATAAACAAAAAAAAAAAAATAAAACACAAAAAAACATTTATTTGTTGTACTGTTTCTTCATTAGATTATACTGCAAACACTTTTCAAGTTAACAGGTACAACTTTTCATTAAAGAAGCAACATTCTTTATATGTTGTTAGCATATTTGTAATAGAAATAGAAAAGTAATCTGTAAATTTTCAACAATGATTCAAAGTAAAAATTGCATTATTTAAAATGATTGATCAACTTCTACTTGATTATTGAAGTTAATCTGCGAATTACAAGATTATAATATAAAAGTGTAGATCGAGTTTTTTTAACAAATAAATTGTAATAATTAAAGATATTATAATAATTAAAGACGTTATAATAATTAAACGTCAATGTCAAACTCAAATTTTTAATTATATGATTAAACTAAAATTAGTTATAGGTACTTTTGTAACTATATACAATTAATTAGTAATCTTTACTTCAATTATATCTTCTGGCATTATTTTTTGTATAGAAATATCAGTTTTGAACCGTGTACTTGGAGAAAATATTCGAAAGATATCCGATATATATCGTAGTCACTACGATTCATATAATAAGTGGTAAAAATAGTTTTACTTTTTTCGTTTACGTTCTATTTACAATGTAGATGAAATATTTGCCATATTACTTTGAATAAATGACATATCATTATACAACTTCATACTGTATTTTAATTGATCAAATATAAATAAAATAGAATTTTCAAATTAATCTATTATAACGATAAATTTTGTAAAACATTATCATAAAAATAATATATACATTATTCTTTTTTGTATTAATTCTGAAAAAAAAAGAAAATAATCGAAATCAATGTTCAATGGAGAATAAAGATCTCATGACAATACTGGATAATTCTAAAAATCTATTTAAAAAAAATCAAACATAGATCTTATTTCATTAAACAAACCAAGTACTGAATTCACTGATCATCTTACTAAACTGGTTTTTTTTCTTTTGAACATTGTTCTTTTTTCACTCCATTTCCTTCGCCGACTTCAAGTTCAACAGAACTATCTTCTCTAGTTTCTTCTTTGCAATCTTTGTTCGTGGCTATTTCAGTTTCTTCGACTATATCTTGTTCCTGTTCTAAAAAGTCCGTAGGTACGAATTCCATTTGATCTTCGCTATCATTTATATCGGGCGGTTCAGGTATCTCACAGAAATTAATTTCTCTTTCACCATCAATAGCTTCATTACCACCTGGATCATCTTCTTCATGTAAACTCATAAGTTTGTCAAAGTTCGACGGAGTTGAACTGTCTTCATTATTTTCAGGAAATATCTCTGTAGGACTAAGAGGAATATCTAAAGGTTCAAGTTTAACAGTAGTAGTCGGTGATGTAGGTGTAACAGGTCGTTGTAAACGTATTTTAGTAAAGGGTTTTGGTTCAATTGGTTCTGAATGTTGTCGTTTTTGCGCACGTTTAGGACTAGAAAGCGTAGAAACTCCGGAAGTGGAAGCTTTCTCTTTGGTCTCTGAAGCGATTCGCGAAACTGGTTGAGATACTATTGGCTTTGATTGTGGAATAAGTAAAGGTGGTTTTGAATTCTATTAAAAAAAATATATTTTATAAAAATTTAATTAACAGAATTATGTTCATTTAAAAAATAAAAAAGTCATTATTCACCTGTGAAGAAGGATTGGGTCCAGCTAATCCTTTCACTTGTAATGCTTCGGCTGCATTTAATAGTTGGGGCAGTTTATCATGAGCTACGTTCACTTCTCCGCGATACATGAATTTGACTAGTGCTTCAACTTCCCAAAATTTAAGATCTTTCATTAAAATAATTGGATGTTGACATGGATTTTCTCGTAATAAATCTGCGAGATAATCGCTACAGGATGACAATATCATTTTATGACACTTTAACGAACGGCCTTCGCAAGCCAATGTAACATCAACAAACTGTTCAGAATCCAATAAAGATGGAAAACTGTTTTGCATGTTACTATGATAACTGTTCCATCTCAAACAAACCTGAAAAACATATATTGTATATTTTAGCTGTTATAAAATTTATATAGAAATATTGTATATATTTCATTATTTAAAAGCTCATTACCTCTGTAGGTTGTTGATGTACAATATTATGAGGTACTCCTTGACTAGTTTGTCGTGGTGGCATTTTAATGGTTGTAGGTGCAACTTGCTTTACTTTTAAGGGGATTGTTTTTAACACAAGAGTCTTTGGTTGACGTTGCTGTTGTTGCTGCTGTGATATAGGTGCTGGTGCAATGTTTCTAATATGAGATCTTACCAAGGACTGTGCTGCTATTCTTATAGTTTTGCCAGTTGAATTACTTGAAGAAGGTGATTGTAATACTGAAAAAAAATTATTTTTATTATTATAATCATAAATAGACATAATATATTTTATAAAAAGACAAATAATTTATTTTTTTTTATAAAAAGACAATATTTATTTTTTTTTTTATTTATTAAAATGATTCTCCAGAAGATGTCAAAATATTTTAAAAATTTGCATATATTTGCAACTATTTAATATTTAAAAAAATGAAAAATACTTTAATTATAGATTTCAATATTAATTTATAAAAAAAAGTACAAATATAAAACCTAATTTTATTTTATATAATAATAACTTATGTATACTTTATGTAAATTACTATTACTTTATGTAATAATATTTGTTAATACCCTTTAAATAATTGTCAAGTCACTTTTCCAGTATATAAAATATCTTCAATAACCAACTACCATTACCGTGATAATGACTGCCAATGAGTCTGCCACCGTGATGTACTCTAAGATGTCGATGAAGATTCGTTGTACCGCATTGACGTGGATTCGCTCCGCCTCTGACAACAACCGCACCGCAAATTCGACATTGAGCTCGCAAAGGATCATTTGCACATAAGTCAAAATGCGCCCAAACTGCGCTTGGATTTGTCATCGCACGAAGGCTACGTGTATGGGAACGAACACGATGTGTAGCACCTGCATGACGATTAGTCGAAGGTGATAGAGATGGCAATTCAGCCGCCTCTAAATAAAAATCTTTTTCATCTTCAGGTTCTTGCTTCATCGCGATATCTTCGAGCCGAATGGCCTCCACGATATCCTCGTTGGAAGACGTGGTGACCGATGTGTTGCAATTTCGATCAGGTTGCTGTCCCTGCAGGAGTTGGCGGCTAGTCAGCTTCACGGTGTCCTTGCAGGCCACCAGTACAAGCCGACCCGCCGTTGTAGCCGTCGTCTTCGTTCTTGTCGCGCTGCTTACGATTTGACCTCCACGCCAACTTCGCTGCGCGTTTTCTCTGCGAAAACGCGATATTCTAAGATAACGCTTAACGAAAAACATCCTTTTGTGTGGACATGGTTTCACGAATTATTTACATGGAGCAACATTTTTCTCGATATAGTAGATATTCTAATCAATTTTTTTTTCCAAAAAGAATAATTTAAACGAATAAAGAAGAAAAGATGAACTATTATAATAACAATTAAGATTCTATAAATAAATTCAAAAACATTTAATTATTAATAATTTAATTTATTATTAATAAATAAACTTACTAAACTAAACTATGACAAGATTTGTCAATTAACTGAGAACTATCATCATTGTATAATTTCTTTTAAATATCAAATTGACGAAATTTGATATTAAATTACAATTTTTAATTATGCGAAATAATTTTGTAAGAGAATGCGAATAAATAGATATATAGAATCTTTTTATCGTTTAATTTTTATAATATTAATGAATTAAACGAATTAATATTATTCAAAATAATATATTTTCTTACAACATTTTGAAAAATTTTTATAACTAATAATATGTTTATCTGATGATATAAATATTATAATTGAATTTGAATATCGACGAGAAATATATTTCATAATTCTGGATATAAGATACTCGTAAGGAAAAATATATTTAAATAGTATGATACATATAAGTTTTTTGGCATGTAATATTAGTATAAAAAGTGCTAAAGATAATCATATAGTGAGTAGATAAAATACATATGTGCGTCCACATTCTATCTTTCTCGTTTCTCAATGCCTCTTTATTACTCCCACTTCTTTTAGCACACTGTGTCATCACTCAGCAGACGACACACGGATAATACGTATTAACGATTTATCCGATGAGAACGTCTGATAGTGTAGCACGTATATTACGCAGGTTAGATCGATATTGCATTGTAACGTAAAACAAACGATCAATGGTAAAAAATTTAAATTTTTAAATTGTATTTTATAAAACTATGCATGTAATTGAAACAATCTAAAAACATCTACGGAAGTTCTACTCTATCTGCAAAGTTCCTTTTATTCCTTCTCTTCTCCCCTCCCTTCCTGTTTCTAATCTCCCCTCCCTTTCACCACCACCAAACGACATTTGCTGTCTCATTACGTTCCTTCGATCTTTCTCACTTCGCTTTCCTTTCCCTTTCTCCCTTGCTCCTTCTATCTTTTTCGCATTCTCTTACTCGCTCTTTTGTTCTTACTTAGTTCTCCCTCTCCTTCTTGCCTCCCCGAAGATCTCTCTTGAGCGACCGGCTATAAAATGGCAACCGTTGCGACTGAGCACGATATCGAGTGGCACACGCCACTGCTACGTCTACCGTACCTCTGTGCTTTTTTTCCTTGTGTCTTTGTTCCTCTCTTTTTTGTCATCTGTCGCAGCGTCACTTAATCCAATCCGGTCATTCGATTCGCAACTACGAACCGGTTCAATTTTGTGTTGTATCGCGTCAGAAAACGTTGTACCGACGACCACGCGACAATTTATTGACCCTTGCACGATTCCCAGGAGTGATATTCAAACTACACTACAAATTGTTCAATTTCTTTCACCGTGTTCTCGATTCTTTCCCGATCAGATCAACACTGGTTTTCTATCACGTTATTCTCGGCGTGTCTAATCTCGTTGCCGTGTAAATGCTAATGATTAAATCGGTATTGGATATGATCATCCGTGTACGAGCCAGCGACTACACAACGAAAGAAATCGCCAAAAAATTCTGTTCCTTTTCTTTTATGGTACTCTTTCAATGTACAAATATGTACTCGAACGGAAGATCGTCGAATATAAGAGTGTATGTAACTCGTGAGGGACGCGTTTGTATCTACTTGATCGACAGAATCGTTACTAAGTTCCGTGCAAGTTTTTTTCACGACGCGTCTCGACAATGTGGCTCGCTACGGAAGCGAAACGATTTTCCCCGAAGCCGAACCCGGGAGTGACTAAAATCGAAATCGGTGGACGAACAGGGGCGCGTCAGGGCGCGCATGTGCGACGGCGCCGCCGGTCGTCGACGCATATTATCCGTACCGTGTTTCGTGTTGCTATCGTGTGCGCGTTCCCGGGTCTCTCTTCGCTAAGGAATTACTAACCGACCTGATCACGTTCGACTCACTCGAGCCTCGCCGAGCGAATTCTCATCGATCGGGAGCCGCTTCTATGGCTCTCTTTTTTTCGCGCGCATCTTTAAGATGCCCGCCATGTTGGAACAACATACATACAAGTGAAATGTCTTGCTAATTGCCTTACATATTTGAATATATTAGTTTACATAACAAATAATTTTTAAATTTTTCAAATTAAAATAAATGTATGGTAATTATGGACAATGTTAATTTAACGGAAAGAATTCATATATTTTCAACGTAATTATTTAAGTGAAAAATTTTAATATTAATTTAAAACTATAATTTTTACAAATGCAATAACTATACATGTTTTTTATATAAAAATAATTTTTATTTTAAGATCAATATAAATCAATATAGATAATTCAATGTGAGTATTATAATAGATTTTGTTTTTACTTAGAAATTAATTATTTATTATTAATCTTCTGGAGATTCATTTAAATTTTATTAATAATCATTATAATAAAACTTATAATAATTTTTTAGTTATATGAAAGAAATATGAATACAATAAATAAAAAGATTTCATTGAAAAATTATATATTCTATTCAATTACATTCCTAATATATGTAAATTTTAATTATTAAAAATATAAAACTTCAAAACACTTACTTTTTCTAGATGTGGCTCGTGTCTTCGGTCTCCTCTCTTTTTTCTCCTCTGATAAATCATTTTCTATATGAACTACTCGTTGTGGTACGTTTATAGAATTGTCAGTATTCCCTTCAATATCTACAAAAAATAAAGTTTTTAACAACATTATATGATGAGAACATCTCTCTAAACGTGTTTTTTAGCTAATAATTTTAGTAATATATTAAGATAGTAATATATTAAACAATTAAATCGTCATCGATTAACAAGTATAGATTAACAAGTAAACTTACTTGTTAGCACACAAGGTTTACCAAGAGCCAAGTAACGTTTCCTGGCAACTTGAGCAGCCGCAAAATCTGGTTTATGATTGTGTTCCATACGCACCCTTGGTTTCGTGCAACTCGTAGTTGTGATAAGACTGCCTCTACAATGCATAGTTCTGCCGACGCATCTCCATCGGATATTGTATGGTTGCTTTTTATGCAGTGTGTACATATAGCCATGATGAATTAACTTCGGTCCTCCCTTGTTTGATAAAACAACCTATGATACAAATTTATTAAATTGATTGATATCTATTTTTAAATGAATAATTGTTAATTAAATTTGACAAAATTATTGAAAAATTAAGTTATCATTAGTATTTAATATTTGAAATGCTAATCAATATTTCAAAATATTGATTTCAATTTTTTGCAAATTAAATTTGCAAAATTTATAAAATAAAATTATGAATCGATTATATAAATGTTTAATTATATTTTGAAATAAGAGATCATATTTAAATATTTGATTATCAGGAATAAAACAAATGATTTTTATTTAAAATAATATTCATCTTGTAATTATCAAAAGTATTTTATTTGGTTTTTTTAATATTTAATTTGTGAATTCATATAATAGCTAAATATTTATATAAATAATTTCATTATTTTTAAGGTTTTTTGTCTCGTACTTCGGCTACATTTGGGTCATCGTCATCGGTATTCTCAGAAAGAACGGACGACGTGGAAGCTTCTTCCTTGATTTGTGTTTTGTTTTCGTTAGACACACTTTTAACACGTTGTGGCATCTTGTTTATTATTTTTCTATTTTTCCTGCAAACTCTCAATCCAATACTTGTGTCATTGACCTAAAGAGATGATTGTTATTACTAAAAAAACATAAGTAAAAAAGTTCAACCACATATATGCTCATATATATATATATATATATATATATATATATACCCAAATAATCTAATTACTAATTTCTATTTTATTTGCATTTTTTTTTTGAGAGAAAAGTTACAGTTAATACAGAATTTATTTTTATAAAGAAAATTTCTGTAAAAATATTACCATAAAAATGATTATAGAAAAAATTTTATTTTGGATTTTGAAAACGGAGTCGATCGGAAAGTTAAAGATTCATGGAGATCGACGATCTTAAGTAATATACATACAGACATTGCACGATTTACGCAATTGCATGTTTGCTGGCTTCTATTACTGTGAAATCGTTCGAACTTCTCAGTGCCTATGCACGCGCTAAAAATAGTATAGAACAGAGAAATGAACAGTAGGTTTATAAAATCTTGAGAATCGTGCGTATTAGAAATTTTAGTATGTCTCGTATTCGTCTGCCGATTTTTTTTCTATTTCCCTTTTCCTCGTTCGTTTTTATCCCACTATTTTATTCCCACGGATCTAAAATTGCACAACGAAGCATGCGGAGAAATCATTTGACTCAAATTTCATTGCAAAAATAAAGATTTCGTATTGTTATTTCATGGTGAGGAATTAAGAATATATCAAACTTCTGGAAAAAATAAATATTTAATGATAGCAAATTCTTCAAACAGTATCTTCGTAATAAATATATATATATATATATATATATATATATATATATATATATATTGTATTTATATATACATTACATGTTATATATAACATATATTATTTAAATACTATTCAAAAAAACAAAAATATTAAATTGCTTGAATTTATTATGTTTAAGAAAACAATTTTAAGCAACTTTTTGATTGCTTCTTTCTTATCAAATATGTATATGTATATAATATGTATTGTATGTATTGTATGTATATAGATTTATTGCTTTTTTATTATTCTTCCAATACTTTTTTATTGACATTTTATTATTATTGCTCACATATAGATATTTTTAGTTCAAAATTAAATTTTTTATAACTTAAGAAATAATCAATCTTTCGAAGATGTCTCATGCAAATTTTATATATTCACAAAAATTTAATCAAAGATTTCTTTTGATCTTTCATCATAAATACGAATTGATATTTATTTGGATGCATATACATTTTTTTACAAATCAATATATTAATATATAAAATTAATATTTCTTTCTTTTTAAAAATAAAATTGCTAAATTTTTTTATCGTAAAAAGTAAAGAAAATTGAAATTTAATTTCTAGAAAGGAAAAAAAAACATTGCTAAAAAAAAATTCATATTCAGAATTAAATATCAATATTTCGAAAATGAAAACACATGACATGCGACATTTTTTCTTACAACCAAGGATATATTAACATTTTATGGGACATATTCTGTATATCTAACTGATTAATATTATATATCTAATTGATTAAAAATTTTATTTAATTTATTGTGCAAAAGATAAAAAAATTTTAGAATTACATAAATATATAGTAAAAGAATATGATAGTAATAATTATAAAAAAATATCAGTGTTATCAAGTTTTAGAAAATATACAAAAAATAATAAATAAAATATTTAAAATATTTAAATGAATTTATAAAAATTAACACTGTTAATAGCATAGGCCTATTGGCACACGAAAGTGAAGCGTGTACTAACTTTCATTGCATGAAATCGTTATTTACTGTATGATCAAATAAAATTGCTTTTAAATGAAATGAAAAGTATTGTATTGTAATACTCACGTGTTACTGATGGGTAATTCAATCGCAAAATTCGTAGGAACAATCAAAATACTTTTATATGTATGTAGATACAATATGTATTTGTATAAATAAAATAATATCGTAAAAAAAGAAGAAAACGGCAAGAATTCTAACGTTTCGAGGAATTTAATCGCGGTTCTCGATCCTAATCGAGATGAATCGATATTTAGGTATCAAGCATGACCAATTTGTCGACCAGACTAGCTTATAGCCGTTTTCGGTGAAACTACTGAATGGTCAACAAAAATGGCGAAACTCTAGTGATTGGATTTTGCGCAATAAACGCCACGCTCTGGAACGTGGAATATGGCACCGGACAAGCGCAATCAATGAACGGCACTATGGCACCGTGCTGCACAGTTTATACGCGCGCCACGAACGATCATTTCATACTATTTACGCACTGATGGCGCGCGACATGAATTCATTATACGATCACCCAAGTTTTATACGTTTTACGATGTTACGTATCAAAATTCGCGTTGATGGAAACTGATACATAAAAAAACTAACAGCGATGTGCTTATGTCTTGATTATATAAAATGAATAATAATAATATATATATATATATATATATACATATATAAATATATATATACATATGTATATATATTCGGAAATGCATTGTGATTGCGTATTTATAACATAAAAGAATTGAATTGTCTTCGATAACAAAGTAATAAGAAGCAATCGAGAAAATCAGTACGTGCGATAAAAGATTCTGGATTGATAAAATTAGGAACATCCGGATCATTATGGACAAAAGCCAGTAACTATATTCGTTATCATGACTTGTGATTGGATGGATATAGTATAGGAATATATATCAATATTCATCTTACTATCTATTGTAATTTATAATAAAATCAAGAAATATTTTTCGTTTATTTTGTACATGATGAAATTGATTATCGAAATGCCTGATTGCATTTATTTTTAATATATTGTTTGTTTAAACAGTATAATTGCATAATATTGAACGAAATTTATATTTATCATATTTTAAGTACAAAAAATTTTAAAATACTTACTATTTTGGTTACACTTTTTTTATTACATTCTAATAATCAAGAATATATTGTTCTACTTTCTCTTTTTCTTTTTTTTACAATAATGTTTTGTTACTGATTTGCGACTGATTTTTTACCTCTTACTTTTTATGGCATCATACTGTCATAGACTAGATATAGAATAGATCTATCATCTTACGGGATTTTGTATGGTATGTTCTGAATTATCGATCATACATGAAAAAATCATATATGCCCTCTATGATTTAGAACCGCGAATTTAGAAGTTACATTCACTTTAATGATTAATCGATAGATTGAAGTTAATAATAAAAAGATATTCTTTTTTTAAATTTTAATATATTCAAAATTTTTACTACAAATGATTTTTACTACAAATTCATATTTATAAGGCACATACATTTGATTGCAATTTAATTAAAATTAAAAAAATTTATGATACCAAAATATACCACCATTAAAAGCAATTAATTTTATGTAATTTATATATTTTATGTAAAACATTTTGTATATTGTTAAAAATAAATAAAATCTTTTAACATAAAATTGTTTTTCTTCATTTATATCCTTAAACCTAGTAAAATTAAGTACATTAAAAATACAGCAAAAAATAGTTTACAGAGGTAAGTATGGAAACGAGCTAAGTGTAGGTAAGTATATAAAATTTAATGAAAAATTTTTATTTTCAAAAAATTTTACGTGCCACATAAAATTCAGGAATTGCCGAAATTCTTGGAAAAATTTCACGAACGACCTCCTGTCAACTTATGTTCTCCTAATACAAAGTCGAAATTTTAGTCAAAAATTTCGTTCGTTCAAAAATTTCAAAAATTCCAGGAATTTGACGTCATTTCTAAGAACTTCGAAAATTCCAAGAATTCATCATTTCTAGGAATTACCGAAATTCTTGGAAAAATTTCACGAACGACCTCCTATCAACTTATGTTCTCCTAATACAAAGTCGAAATTTTAGCTAAAAATTTCGTTCGTTCAAAAATTTCAAAAATTCCAGGAATTTGACGTCATTTCTAAGAACTTCGAAAATTCTAAGAATTTAACGTCATTTCTAAGAACTTCGAAAATTCCAAGAATTCGACGTCATTTTCAGGAATTGCCAAAATTCTTAGAAAAATTTCACGAATGATCTCTTGTCAACTTATGTTCTTCTAATACAAAGTCAAAATTTTAGCCAAAAATTTTATTCGATTAAGAATTTTGATTTGTATTAGGAGAACATAATAAGCGAAGAGTTTTTTGAATTTATTGATATTTGTGTTAATTGTTTTACTTACCTTTACATTCTTACCTGGTTATTCATATTTTTTAGAAATATTTTTAGGAATCATTCTTTATCATTTTACTTATATCTAATAATGAAACTTGATATACTTACCTTTTTAATATTTTCTTAATATTTTTTAATACTTAATCTATTCTAAGTCCAGAAATTATTATAAAACATAAAAGTATAAAATATATATATATATATATAAAAGTATGAAATATATATAAAATATGGAAAGAAATAAAGATATGTATAAAATACAAAATCATAATAATATTTAATGCCTTTGTGAAAATACGGAAAAACTAATTTATGTATAAAATTAATTATTAATTATGATAAAATATATAAGAAGATAAAATATATATACATATATGTAAAATATGTATATGTATATGATATATAAATATAAAAAATAAATATGCATAATATATATGATAATTTATAAATATTAGATTAAATAGACTTTATTAAGTTGATTATAATTTTTTGAATTATAATCAATAACAAAAATAATAATAATAAAATTAATCGAGTGTATAAACAGTTTTTTGAGTATTGCAATCACAAATCACTGCAACCATAGATAAAAGAAATAATGTGAGAAGGACAGAGAAAGAATAAAAATTAATCAGCGCCATCTTCAGAGTATCGCAAATGAAACATTCTAAGAAAAGATAAATAGAAAGAAAAGAATAGATAAAGTAAGAATTAACTTTCAGCGACATCTCTTGGGTATTAAAAGCATCTTTTATATATCTTTTGAAAAATATTCAACAGATGGTACTAATTGTTAATTCTTATTCTACTTTACCTTTTAAGATGATGTCTTTACCACTCAAAAGATGGCACTAAAGATGAATTCTTGTTTTATATCTATCCTTTTCCCACTATTTCCTGTCTTTTTTTTATATGTTTCATTTGCGGCATTTTGAAGATGGCGGTGATTTCTCTGTAATTTTTACACTATTTTTATTTTTCTTCTATTATTTACTTTTTTTGTAGATTTGCTTGCGTATCATATATAATATATAGAATGTAAATTGAATACATTTTCATTTTCTTTATAAAACTATTAAGCATTTTATATCATAAAATAAAATATACGTAAAAGAATAAAATGATTTTCATTATATATATAAAAATATATTTAATATCCAAATAATATTTCTGAATTAGGAGATTAACGAGTCTTATTATTTTTAAATTATTTTTATTAATTGATTGTTTCAAAGGGCATGTTAAAAGATTCGTTTGCAATGGTTCATTATTTTTAATGTAATTTATAAGTAGTACAGTATAATATTAATTAAATCGATTATATTAAATATTATTTCCTTGTATGTATAGTGTAACCGAATAACGATATAGACAAGACTAGCAGGTGGTGACCCTCGATACTCCTTCATACATTATTTCCTCTTTATTCTTAATGTTAATTATTATTTAGTTTTTCTTTTACATATCTTTTAATAGTTTTTTTCAATATTCGATCCAATTTTTTTTCACAAAATTTTGCTCATTTTGCTTCTTTTTTTTTTCCATATCGCATCACTTATTTCTTATTTTTTTTCTTCCATTCTTCCATTGTATCTTGGCAGCGTTTTTGAACAATGAATAGAAAATATCGCAGTGAAATGAATATAAAAAGGAAGCCCGTTCAAACTTAAAGCGATTAATCAAAAAAGAATTGTACATAAGTAAATTACTTCTTCAAAGTCGAGAAAATTATATAATATATATATTTGAAAAATGGGCGACCAATCAATCATTTTTTTAAAGGCACAGGCAACATAGCATAAGAGGAAAGCAATTGTGTACAGACTAGCGTCACATTTAATGTTGTAAAATGAAAATTAATTAAAGTTTTTGTGGAGTATTTTGTATGATAGAATTAATGATTAACGCAAGTTTAAATATAATAATATAATAACTTATATTGATAAGAGTATAATGACGACAATTCACAAAAATCTGAGTAACAAAAAAATAATGGAACGCATGTATTGTAATAAATTTCTATTTACATATAAAATAATAATCTTTTCTCACTATTGAGTATGTGCGAAAAACTTAAATGAAGCAAAAAAATAAGTCGCCAATGCTTTTAAAATTTAATTTCATTATGAATGATATAATATATCTGTAAGATATCTAGTGATATTTATATATCTCAATTCGTGTTTGCACAATAAATAATTTAAATACAACTTCTATTTAAAAAAAACGACCGTACCCAAATTTTTTTCATTATAATTTTTCGCTTACCGGTGGCAGTTCTTCCTTTTTTTTTTTTCAAGAAACATTCAAATATATTTTGTACTATTATTACTTATTTATAATATTTTTACTTTACTATTTTGCAATTGCAAAAATGTTAATTATTTTTTTTAATATTCTGTTATAAAGCCAGTATTTATAAAATTCACAAAATAATTGATTAATTTAAATTCAAAATTCATCATTATTGAAAGTTTCTTGAAACATTTGAATTTTTGTGTGAAATCATTTAAATTTTCATTTAGATTATAGTAGATAAGATAATAAGTTTTAATAAAAAAATTCGTTTTTATTTTTAATTTGGAGCTTTAAATAAATTTTTTTCTTTTAAAAATAAATGCTTGATACTTTGGTGATTAAAATTTATATTAATATGTCATGCCTACCGGTAGCAAATTTAAAAAGCAGTGTGTGATATTATGTGTTTCAATGTGTTGGTTTCCATATTGGAATTTTCGATTTATAAGAAGCATCCATACTTGGACATGAATGAATATAATAGATATATTATATGTTATTCTGATATTTTTCTTACAATGATTTAGCAGTAAACGCACCACATTTGTGCTAATTATAACAAGCTGGATGTCTTGGCACTCGTCAGTGTCCTCCTATGTCTTCAATTTCACCAAAAACGAAACAAATTTTTTATACAAAATCTAATTTTGGATTTTATATTTATTATTATTAAGTTAAAATTTAATGATTTATATGTTCTTACATCAAAATTATAAATAATATGTCTTAATTAGGAAACAAAGATCATTAAATTAAGAGGATATTGGAATGTATCCAAAAAATTCACCTAGTTGTTTAATTAAAAGTATACACGATAAAATCGAGTAAACTTAAATATATATTAAACAAAGTTATAACGCATCCCTTTAAACGAAATAATAATAACAATGAAACGCATACAAAAAATTACTTTCATACAGAAATTATAATTACACTTTATCAACTTTGATGTTGTTTAGAAGAAGAAAGAGTAATTTGGTTCGTTGATGGTGAAACCGAATGAGGATGATATAATCGAGCATGCATCGATGTAAGAATGTGACTAAATATACGTCTATAATATCTTATGTCACAGTACAAATGAACGAACAAAATGCCAAATGGCAAAGACACAAAGGCACGACGAATTTACAACTCCTCTAGCCGGCGTTAAAAATTTTTTTTTCTAACAATCATTTCGAATCTACATTTCCTTTCTTTATTAATAAAGTAAAATCTAAATAGTAATTTGAAAAGAAAGATTGATATTACGCAGACTCGAAATGATTCGATGCTAATTAGACGTTTAACCCTTTCTGATTTCATATTACACATATGGCATTGTATTATAGTTTATTACATGAAATTGTGAAAAATTGTGTCTACTTGAAAAAGTAGCTAAATATCTAAAAAAAATTTTCTGAAAAGGTTA